GCTTGCTTAGAAATGCTACACTAGAATATTGCATACTCATATTTGTCAAATATTATATGCTTGGGCAATTACCTTTGGGAAGGTAATTGAGATGCGGCATGTGGAGACATGAGCGCCACATTGCCATGATAATGATGACATGATTTGTGAAAATAGGAAAGAAAACTAAACACTTGTTTTAGACCGGGGCAGACGGTGAATTTGGGTGGTATCCGGGAAAGGCTAGTACCGTCCCCGGTCAATTAAGGACCGAGCCATGAAGTTAAGCATGAAACGACCCCGTACAACCACACTTCTCGAATGGGGATAGACCTAGCGGAGTAAATAGCCGAGCGGAGGCAGTATCCATGCATAGTGGTTTCTCGATGTGTAAGGCAGGGGCTCTACAATGGTGTCGCCATTGTTAGGACTGCCATGTGATGAGTTGAACATAATTATAACTTAATACATGTGTGTGAATTTTCCCTCCCCGGGTGCGCCAGAACTCCTCTCACTGCTAGAAACTGTGTACGCCTAGAGTACATGAGGATGAAAAGTTCATGGAGCGGGTACTGCCAATGCAAGGTTATCGAAAAGCTTTGCCGTGACGCGTCTCATGTGTTGAGACAAGGCTCATGTGTTGGGCAGTCGCAGAATGTGGGTAAAGTGTACATCCACTGCAGTGTGAGTAAACCAAATCTATTCGAATAGCCGTGCTCGCGGTTATTGAGCACCGGGACATGTATTACACTTGGCTAGACTCTAAATTCTTATCTAGTGTGGGATGGGTTATTGCATGATGAATTTTTATGCTGTTGGAGCCACTTCCTGAGAAGGGGGAAGGTGGGCGTCCTCAGAAAACCATGACGACTCAATGGCGGGAAGCTATCCTTGGGATCACAATGGATGGTGGACAGAACCGTCGTTGTTCAAATACAAACACTGGTACTAAAATTTGATCAGTCAATGCTAGGTCTTAGGCTTGTGAAAAGAATTACAAAATTTGCTTTGCGCAAAAGAACCCTAGCCATCCTTTGAAATACCCCTATCATATGCATTGTTGATGTGGTGGCTTGCTGAGTACGGTTGGTACTCACCCTTGCAAATATAAACTTAATCAGAAGCGGGAGATGAAGCTTCGGAGGATCCCTATGCCTATTACCAGGAGGGTGATGAAGACGATGGCGCTCAGTAGGTCTTAGTACGGTCGTTGCCTGTGGCAATGGCGTGCCGCTGCCTTATTTCCGCTGCCTTATCTATTTCTGCTTTTGGGATGTATTCCGGACCGCCCGGTCCGATGATTTAAGACAATGCCTGCGGGCTTATGTTGTAATAATTCGCACTAGACTCTCGTGTGTGTGCATTTGGTATTTCAGCTATGAACTCGTGTGTACCAGACTACTTGATCCAGGGAAATGGTACTGTTTACACGATTGATCCCTGTTATAAAAACGGGGGTCCACATCTACGAAGTGGAGCAACGGAGGAGGCCGCCAGCCAAAACTTGGGCTGGTTGGGCCGGCCCCTGGTTCGGCCGAACCAGGGGGTTTGGCCGAACCTCCCTCGCCGCCGTTGGATGCAGGGCTTCTTCTGGATGGTTGGGATTGATCCCCAATGACGGTCGGAGGGTATTACCGACCATTCCAACCGTCACAACCGTCATTACCTGCCTATAAAAGGACCTCCTCACTTCACTTCACTCACACACCTCAAGCAAGAGCTTTCTCATATTCTCTCAAGTTAGTTTAGTATTCTCAAGCTAGTGGAATAGGAATAGAGTAGAAACCAGGAGTCCAGAAGTCTTCGGAGGAGTTCAGGTATGGCTCTAGTAGCTTTCCTTTCCTCTTTTGTAAGCTTTGTACTATTATTAGAATACTCTTCTTTATACATTTGTGGTATTAAAATACTTTCCGAGTATATGAATACCAACTTTACATTATGTTTATGTTATACTGAATATGCTGCTAGCTTATCTGGGAGATGCTTTGGTGTGGGTATAATATTTGCATATGCAGTTACTCTATGTCATGACGATGATATTAGAGTAGTATTTGGTAGTTTAGATGTGGTGTCTAGATTAAGGGATATCATTATTTGGGGTTATATGCTGCGGATGAGAGGTGGGCTGCTAATGGTGACAGCTCAGTACGGATATTCCTCCGCGCGTGTATATTGTCCTAAGTTAATTCCCTAGGGAGGGTACTCCTCCGTTTTTAGCCCCGCTTGTATGGTCATGACATGCTGTCGTAAGGAACTCGGCAGTCAGGGGTGGCTTCTCGAAGTACCAGGAGGGCATCGGATAGAGGGTATTAGCTAGTATATCAAATAACTAGAATGTATGTATACTATGTATACTAGAAGTATAGGAATAGATTATCTTCCTCTTTTTCTTACCATTTAGCTTAGATAATTTAGTATGAGAACGAGTAGCTTAATGCTTGTGTGTCACTCTACCCTTGGATTATCTTAACCCCTGCGTAGACTATGATTATCACAAGTAATATATAAATTATTAGTCAAGTTCTCTCTACATGATCTTCCCACGGGATAAAATAAATAAGATACCCTTGGAATACTCTCGGGTGAAATGCTACAATGATTTATCCGTACGCTTGCGGATGAACTCTGTAACCATAATATACCAAAAGTATTTCTGCGCCATTACTGTGAATTATATTTATAGTAATGTCGTTAAGAAATACCAACAATTTCCATATGGACACGACTCAAACTTCTATTATAGCTCTAACAGACAAACAAGTCACTTAGGCACACTCTTACCAAAGATATCTATAAGGAAACTACTAAAATATCCTAATTAATAGATACAATTGCCATTCTTTGAACATAATCCTTGCCTGGCAATACTCCTGTAGCCCTTCAATCAAATCCGACAATGACTTTGTAACCCATCTTGTCGATATCGGCTGTATCGGCTATCCCTATCCGACTAGTGTTAGCCGATACGGTCTCCAGCCGATGTGTAATATGTTTTCAACCGTCACCACAATCCCCTCCAAATCTGCTTCGTCTTTACCTCCAAATACGATCCATGCATTACCAAATTTGGTCATTAACACATGCCCCCCAAGTGTTTATCCGCCATTGGCCGTTAACCGCGCGCTTTTAAATAGTAACCACCGCTTAAAATTTCCACGCCATCCACTTCCGTTTTCACCACCTAAGCAAAATCACTTTCCCCATCTCTCCGGCGATTCCCACGTTCTCCGGTGACCGCACATGCGCTCTCAGTGGCGATTCCCAATGCAACTTCAATGGCATCCTCCCCGAGCTCGTCAAGCCCGCCAACTGCAGAGTTTCCAGAGGTAAGCCCCATCAGCTCAAACTCTTTCCAATTCTTGCGTCTTCTTGCAATTCAATCTCCCTCTCTTGCAATCTGTAGCATTTAGCGCCCTAGGTAGCAGTCCCAAGTCTGAAAGAATCAAATCACTTTTTCATGGGCCCAATTGGAGATACAGATCCCACTATATTCATCAACTCAGAAACAAATAGAATCCCTTTTAGGTAGACCAATCCAAACCTAGCCCATTTGTCTACGACCTTTAGATCATGGCCATCCCAAGCCGATAAATGGGTTGAGTGGTATAACAGAGTAGCTACAAGCAAGCAGAGTCACTGGGAAGAAATAGGAATATCTCAATGCCTTTCTCTATCTCTAGCCGATAAGAAGAAAGATGAACCAATGTTATCAGCTGCAGCCTATTTTGGTCAGACACCTTAAACGCTTTCTTGTTCAACCATAGGCCGATGACTGCTCTTGGATATAATCATGATCACAGGGCTAGACATCACTACATCGGCCAACCCCATCAGTTTGAAGACCAAGTGCACTCACCTATTCAAGACCAAGAATGTTGGTGGCTGGTCAGGATTTGTTTCTATAAACATGGGTGAAAGGACCTTGATGTCGCCTAGAGGGGGGTGAATAGTCGTTTCTAAAAATTATCACAACTTTATAGCATATTAGAATGATGAGAACTTCCGGTTCAAATCGGAATTTCCGGTAGGGGATTGGAAGTTTCTGTCTCAACCAAAAGGTTCGGCGGATAATGGAATAAAACACTAGCTATGAACTTGTAGCTCAAACAAACAAAATGTATATGAATCAAAAGGTGACAAACAAGGTATCTAAGCAAGATATAAGGTCATCAACTATATTAATTAAGCATGCAAGTAGATCGGGTAAAAACAAGCTCAATCACAATATGAAAGATGGCAAGAACGAGCAAACCAGGCCGCCTGGAGCACCCTTGGCACCGACCTCCCACCGCCATTGCCGCCTCCCGTGGATGAGCTCTCTGGCCGTGGGCCATCACCCCAGCGGCGAGGTCCTGAGGAAGATAGGAGAGAGGTGGTGAAGAGAGGGGCGAGAGGTGAAAATCCACTTGCACGTGGGCCCCACATGTGTGTTTTAGGCCCTGTTTAGCACAGCTCCAGCTTCAGCTCAACCAAACAGTTTTACCTCCACCTAAAATAGGAGTGGAACTAAGTGGATCTCTCTCACAAAGTGCCTGTTTGGTAGGGCTCCAACTCCTAACTCCTAGCTCCAAACTCCAGCTCCAATGGGAGGTACCTCTGAAAGTGTTTGGCTGGCCTACTCAGCTCCAGAAATCCCGAAAGAGATGATATAGTGGAGATGGACAATGAACTAGAGATGTGGAGCTGAGTTTAGGCAACTCCACAACTTCACTCCAGACCCAACTAGCTCTACCAAACAGGCTCTTAATTTATCTTAACTGACAAGAATGCCACATCATCCAAAACACCATCCATACTGTTAAGGAACTCACTTGAACGGTTTAGCAAAGATGGAGGGCGAAGATTTCTGGTATTGCGGCTTAGGGATGCTAGTTAAACTAAACGTAAAGTTGAGGGACGTCCGGTGAACTTATTTCCTTTTGAAAAAGAAAAAAAGAAAGCCCAAGAACTTGACGAGGTTGGACAGACTCGGCCCATTACGTGAGCTTTTAACTACGCGGCCTAACGGGCCTGGGCGGACTAACGTTTTCGCTAATCCCCGTACGACGCCGGCGCAGCCCCGCACGCAGAAAGACGCGACGCGAGGAGCGGCCGCCGCCGGCAGCTGTTGCGATGAAGCGCTTCTTCCAGCCCGTGCCCAAGGATGGCTCCCCGGCGAAGAAGAGGCCCGCCGCCGCCGCCGCCGCCTCCGCCTCCGACTCCGACTCCCTCGGCGGCGACGCCCCCGCCGCGGCCGCCTGCGCCGTCGGGGAGGGGGATTCTCCTCCCGCTCCCCGCGAGGAGGAACCGCGGAGGTTCGTGACGTGGAACGCCAACAGCCTGCTCCTCCGGATGAAGAGCGACTGGCCGGCCTTCTGCCAGTTCGTCTCCCGCGTCGACCCCGACGTCATCTGCGTCCAGGTGAGCGGCGCGGGGGCGGGGGTTTTCGGTTTTGGGCGCGATCTTTTGCCTCTTCTTTTTATCCGGCTTTTGCTCCCTCTAGGGTTTAATCTGCAGTGCTGTGCGGATGTGGGGATATGGGAGTGGGTTTTAGGCGATTGTGCAGCAATGTGGCATATGCCAGATTTGCGGTCGCTCACGGGCGTTTCGTCGAGCACGTTGGGAGCGTACGTTTTCGTTATTCACCCATGGGAGATTAAACAAGGGAGGTGCGATCTTAATAGAGATTGAGGTTTTTCCTCCCAGGGTTCTGTCCTTCCAGATGTTCACAGAGCTTGCATTGCGTTGTATTCACATGCAATTTGAAGATAGTTGTGTCATTGCTTGCGAGTGGAGTTGCTAGGAACTCGTTGTCAGTGTTCATAGCCCAGTTTTTTTTTTTTTTTGTTAGCCACTTGTGATGCTAGCACAAGTACTCCATCTAGGCAAGGACTGTGACAAACTGTAGACCATATGGTATGTGAAGTGTTCTCTTCAAGTTAAATCTTCAATTCATGATATGGGAAAACTCGTGATATATTGAATGATTGAGCTTTTCTTTGGTACCACTATGCCCACTGTATAAGGTGTTAACCACAACAAAATTGAGGTTCACATACTATTCTACTGTTTCATGGGAACCAGTTCGGCAGCTCCTCTTCTTTAATCACACTGCCTCTTCTTTAGTCACATTGCAACTTATTTCTCTTATGCTTGTGATCCCAATATATCCTATAGTTTTATTGGATTTATATTAGGCACATCCTTTTGGAATCTACCTCAGGGGCTTGACGCTCAAGTACATAGGACATGAGGACGTCTTTTTGTCTTTCCAAACCTCATAATGTTTCATTCTTTGTCCTTATAATGTTCAGTTGCCTGCTTATTCTTTTGTATCCAGCTGGTCACAACTATTTTGCTTTTGTCTGATTTTTTTATCAGTACTTACAACTTCATTTTAAGTATACATGTCATAAATGTCTTACTAGGATAGTATCTAAACTTCTTTGTTAGGAAGTGCGGATGCCAGCAGCTGGTTCCAAAGGGGCACCAAAAAATCCTGGTCAACTGAAAGATGACACAAGCTCATCACGAGATGAAAAGCAGGTAATACAAGCATTAAAAGATTAATGAAATTTTCTGTGACTTTTATGCAGAAGTTAATATTAGATTTGTCGTGCTTTTCATAATACTAGGCAGATCAAGATCAAATTAAGAATTCTAAACTTGATTCGTATCTTCATGCGATGCTATCTTTTCCAAGATTGACCCCTGTAAAACTAGAAGATTTGATATATGTGTAATGAATGTAGTACACTTCGCAAGCAACCAAGTTTCTATGTATACTGACTGATATTTTCAAGAATGGCAAGCTACAGTCTTTTTTTTGGTCCCTTCATGACTGTTTAGTATATTGCATTTGTTGTGCTCCAAGAAATTGTTCTAAGATCACATCTCGATGCCATGCAGGTAGTGCTGCGTGCTTTGTCGAGTCCACCTTTTAAAGACTATCGTGTCTGGTGGTCTCTTTCAGACTCCAAATATGCAGGCACAGCTATGATTATAAAGAAGAAGTTTGAACCAAAGAAAGTGTCATTCAACTTGGATAGAACATGTATGTTCAGAGTTGCATGCATGACTTCATATTTTCCTTTCATAGGCAATCTCCCGTTATCGGTGTGTTTTGTAGTGTCCATGTGCTTTGCTCTGGTGTGAATAACTCAATACAAGATCTACTTTAATATGCACACCATGGTGACCATATCAGTCTCATTCTAACGTTAGTGTGTCTCTCTTCATCTACCCTACAAATCATACGGCACATAAGATTTCACCAACAAGCATAGATGGAAACGATTTCTCTTGACTAATATAGAGTTGCCCAAGATGATGAATTATTTACTTACCGTGGTGGCTTTTATTCCTGATTAGCTTAAGTGTTGTGACGCTTGAGAATGTTTTTCTTTTGTTGATAACCACATCAGCTGCTAGATTGTTCTAGAACTTCTGAGTTGTTCTTCCTGATATGTTGGATATTTGTGTACATACTCTCAGTATAATTTATATTATTATGTTCCTATATGCTCCCTCCGCTTCATATTATAAGTCGCTTTGATTTTTTTCCTAGTCAAACTTCTTTATGTTTGACCATGTTTATAGAAAAATTTAGCAACATCTACAACATGAAATTAGTTTCATCAAATATTACATTGAATATATTTTGATAATATGTTTGTTTTGTGTTGAAAATATTGCTATATTTTTTTATAAAGTTGGTTAAACTTAAAAATGTTTGACTAGAAAATAAGTCAAAAATGAAGGAGGTAGTATTGTTTTAGTATGGCTGCTCCCAACTACTGTTCAGGGAAGAAAATGCACATCAAAACTTTAATGAAAAAGAAAGTTCCAGGTCAACAAACTTGTTGCACTGCAACTTTGAATTAACATTTGGTTTCATCATTACTTTCTCGCATATTGCTACTCTTTCTTAGGAATCCACTTTTGTATTGTTTTCAGCTTCCAAGCATGAACCAGATGGGCGTGTTATTATTGCAGAATTCGAATCGTTCCTCTTGCTGAACACTTATGCTCCAAACAATGGATGGAAAGAAGAGGAAAATTCATTTCAAAGAAGACGGAAATGGGATAAAAGAATGTTGGAGTTTGTTCAACAGGTAGACAAACCCTTAATCTGGTGTGGAGACTTGAATGTCAGGTAATTAATAATATTATTTATAACAGGTAGTACTAGTTACTGATTATCTTGTTTTCCTTGGACATATAGCTACATCTTCATACTATTTTTTAGATTTGATTCAGGCATACTGTAACAGAAAACCGATACATGACAAAATCTTTACACTTTTGACAAAAAAGCTAGTAGGCAACAGAACTGATAACAGTTTTTCTTTTCTTTTCTGTCAAGGCTGATTTGAGCATATTATATCCATAAAATACATATAATGAGCTGTGATATGTATTTTTGTATTCTGAAGCTTGAATCAGTGCAGGACGAATAATTCATATTATATTCTTCTTTTATTTACAAATTGCAATTATGTTACCCTGCAGTCCTGCACTCCTGTCTGCTATCATGATTTCAAGATTAGTTGAACAAGAGCAAACTTAGTGGCATGGAATATATTTTTATATTTTCCAATGCAACCACAGGATAGTCCTGACATGTTGTGATTTCAGTGCAACATGTTAGAAATTCCAATGCAACCACAGGAAATATAATTATTTTATTGAAGTCTAGTATATTTAGCTCACATCATCTATAAAATAGTTAAAATGTCTCGTAAAATCCACTGGTCCGACAATGTGTGAAAACTATGGATTTACTTTTCATTAGGTTTACCAAAATTCCATGTTTAGGAGATGGACTTCAGGTAATTGTTGATATAGAATTTTTTTGGAACTGGTCATGTACTGAAATTTCCATTAGATCTCAAAGTGAGTAAGCTGTCAAATTTTATATGGACTTGCTAAGGAACTCATATTTGCTACACCATGAATAGTAATAATCCACTACTTGACACCTTCCATAAACCAGCCTTAGCTCTAATACTTTGCTTGTATTTGAAATATTTCAGTCATGAAGAAATCGATGTTAGCCATCCTGATTTTTTTAGCAGTGCTAAACTCAATGGATACATCCCTCCAAATAAAGAGGTAACATTACTCTACTGATTCAAGTCTTCTATTTACAAGTGACTAGGAGTGATTTATTACTTTTCATGGCTTTTTACAACTCAGGAACTGTATGTAGTCACCACATTGAAATGATCCTTAAACAGTTTGTGCTTTTCATTTCTAGTTGCATGTTAGGGTTGTTCCTTAATGTAATTGTCCCATCTCGTAAACTGTGCATTTAGTTGACTAAAAAAGATAGTGTCAGCCTGCGTTAGCTGTTATATCCTATTAGCACATCCCTACTATTCCTAAGAACATTGGGTGCACTCCCATTATTGAAAACCTGTAAATCGTTCTTTTTCTTTTCTAGCACTTCATTCTCCAACTCAGAGGCAGACTTTCTTTTATTAGTGGTTGTTTTGGTTCTACTAGGACTTCAGGGGGTCAGAATGGGAATACTCGAGCAGCGGGTTAAGATGACCAGTGGCATTCAATTAAGTCAAGAAAAACCCCTGAACACGCTGCGCGACCAGGCATGCTCAACCTCACGAGAGGAGCACACGTCTGCCAGCGCCAGCAAGTGGGGCTGGAGCCACTTCAACCAATTCAATATTGGGAAGGGCTGGGAATATGCAAATTTCAGTTACAAGAACATCAATGCATGTGAAGGAATCCGTTTCTGTCCTCTATCAGTGCCACAATATTATAGTAGTATGTTTTACTTGAATCATCACTGTTCTAAAAAGGTCGCTGCCTAGCCTACCTAGGCAACCATTAGAATACTGATATGCCTAGGCTCTTGAGAATGTGATATATATTTAAATGTGCCTTTCACGTGCTATTGTACCAGCTGGCATACTGCCTGTTACAAAATAGAAGTCCTATTGGATCACTATTGAGCCTTTTGATGCAATTAAATCTCTTGCATCCTACTCTGCAGGATTGTGGACAGCCAGGATTCACCCTGTCAGAGAGGCGGCGCTTCGGCAATATATTGTCCCAGTACGTGAAAGCTGATACATTTCTACATTGGCAACTTTTCTTATACTATCTTTTGAAACTTGATGTCAAAAACATATTAGCACTACATGAATTAATTTCATTTTTATAACGTTTTAGACCATAAAAGATGATATGTTCTGATCCAACCCATCTTGTTAAAATGGATTTAAATCTGTAATGTAGTTTACAGTGCACTGGCAACCATTATGGATTTGAGTCAAAAATATATAATATATTGGCTACTAGCTAGTAGTCATCACAGATATGGTTCATGCTCTCGTTGAATATGTCTCACACTCACCTTGAGCTAACTTTAGAGAATCTTCAGTGATAGTTTTATTCACATCCTCATCCTACCTAAGCCATCCCTTAAGATCTGGCTATGAGAGAGGCTTATTGCAGCGTTGGCAGCTCTGCATTATGGCCTCATGGGCTCACACTTACATGTATGCTCAACCTGCCGATGGGGTCACAATGTTGCACATACTGTGACTTCAGAACATGTGATAATTTTTATGAGATGGGATTATGGGAAGGTTGAAGTTCATTGATGTTTGGGGGCCAGGGACCTGCTATAGGCCTTGACAATTGTGGACTACTCGAATTATCAAGCCACGCTGAGCTATTCAAGCTCAGAGCTTGTTATGCTGTACAAACCTTGGCTGGCCATGCTCAAATCAAGCATGGAGCGATCCAAGTTTGAATTGCTCATAAGCCTTGAGACTTTTTTTACTACTGCCTGCATGGGTAGAGGTCATCTATGCCAGTATGCCTGTTCTGTTTACAGATCATATCCCCAATATGCCTTTGCAGTTTACAGATCATGTATCATTTGGCCCACTGACTAAATTACTGGTGGGTATGGGTAGGAACATGCCAACCTCTTATTATTTCGCCATGTGTAACTGGGTAATCAAGCAAGATTGTCACCCTCAAGTTATAATCTTTTGAAAAAAAAATATCTTCAGCTCTTACCTTAGATTTAAACTTGTCCTCTAACTCCAAAACCATGTAAAAGTTGCCCTAAACGTTCAGAAAGTAAACTGGACAGGACTTATTTGGGGTATATGATTAACATTCATTATCTCTCCCTTTAACAAACGTGCTCACCACACCTTGGTTAAGGAATGAGTTTTCAACTGATTTTGGAGTTGACAACTTTTTTCCTATCCTTATTTAAGCTGAAAACCACTAGGAACCAGTTCAGGCAGCATAATGTGAACCCTTTTCTAACAATATTCTGTGAACTTAATATGAAGCAAATAAAGCCTCACATGGCATACGGTTCCTTCGACATGGAGGAAAGAAAATAAGTTAAGGAAAATTCAAGCCATGTTCGCAGTGATGCCCCCAGTGGATCATGTCACCAGCAGCTTACAGTAAGAAGCTATCTGTGACTTGATCAAGGAATTAGTTGCATGTATAACATACGGCCATAATGGCAAATATCTTCTTCCGTATCTTTGTGCACATGACAGGTATGTCATGCACCAAGGAAGCAATGCTTGGATCTAGGATCCCCTTAGTTCATTGCAACAAGACATACTTCTAGGCTTGAAATTTTTTAATACCTCATGGAGTAATTATTTGAATTTACAGAGGAAAGCTGGTAGATGCTTACAGATATCTGCACAAAGAGAAGGACATGGATTGTGGCTTTTCTTGGTCTGGACATCCAATTGGCAAGTAAGAAAGATTTCAATTATTATGCTAGTCTTCGTTTGTTTCGTAGATTTTATTGCTGCATTATCAAAGCATGTCCATATCTGACATTGATATGTCATCTTATTACATTCCTTCATTGGTATGCATTTTACCAAAGGTTATCTTGAACAAATATTCTTTATCTGAACAGTTTGAGTTTACAATTTATCAATTCAAATGGGCTTACAGGCTTAAAGATAATCCTGTATGTTTGGCAGATATATAAATGTTCTTCTAGAAAGTTTAGTTTGCACTATGACCTGAACTGTGAAAATTATCTAAAAGTTATCCTACTTCCAGTTAAAATTGTGTCAGCTGATTCTCTTTTTTTTTTCTCTGGTAATCTAAACTTGATCCTTACACAAGATGATAAATATGATCTTCGTTAAATCTTTTCTAGTTAATATCTTAGCTAATGGGCTAACTTTTGATTCATTACAACTGGAATCCCATGAAGACTAACTGATTTAAAAATGCCTACAGGTACCGAGGGAAGAGAATGCGAATTGACTATTTCCTTGTTTCAGAAAAACTGAAGGACCAAATAGTTTCATGTGACATTCATGGTCGTGGAATAGAGCTAGAAGGTATGGGGTTAAAACATTGCTTATCATGCTTTCCATTGTGATACGCAAGTATATAAAAGCGTCATTTTTACATTTGGCCCTTTTAAAAAACTTTGTTCAAATAGACCAGAATGAAATTTGTTCTAAGAATAGACCCAAGTGTTGATCCATGGATAGGGCAAAAAGGGTCTGAATAGTGGGAGGCAACACAGCTCTCACACTACTATCTCTACGTTCTTAACATACTGATACTGTATCTCTTAGTACTTCCTAAGTATTTCGTAAGTAACTCCTAATCTCCTATCCTAGGAAACTAGTGATTTAGTGAGAGCTGTTATACTCTGCCATCATAACTCCAAGGCACGGTATGTTGCCACATCACTTGGCACCATCTGAGCTGCCGCATTAGACAACCATGGAGGGGACTTACTAGCATGTCACAGCTCAGTGCCATGTAGTGTGGTGTCATGCTCTCAAACATGGTAATAAAGGTTGAGGTACATTGTTAATGTGGTGCATAAATTTTGTTTACTCCAAATCATTTTGAAAATCTTGTTCCTGAAAATAGATTGGCGCATATGTTATATTATCCCATCAGCTTGCTTAACTTCAGCTGGTTGCAACTAATATTATGCATTTTGTTTCTTTTTTTGAGGAACATAACTTGTCGAGCCTGATTAGCTAAAATGTTGTTTTACTGTATTAGACATCGAACTGCAAATACATGCTGGACTATTACTACAATACAAATTGCATGTTGTCGGAACTTGTGACCCATGTTGTGACTTGTGAGCACACTACACTGGTTTTTTGGAATTTAAAGTGCAAATGGAATACGACAGGTACCTCAACCCCATGAAAATTAGTTACATGAACCCAGGTGAACAGGACAGAGCTGGTTGTCGCAGTAGTGGTAGTAATTGCACCTTGCGCTTTGATGCTAGTTCTGGGGGTAGAGTAGACCTTTTCTGTAATTTTGTGTTGGTGAGTTCCATGTTGTAGGCAAATAGACTGTAGGAGATATGGCAGACAATAGAAAAAATCTGCAAGTTTAGAAGCTCCCTTTGGAATCCTCTTTTGCTCTTGGTTCAGTGATAAACATTTGACCTGTAACTGAAATTTTATGCATGCCTGCCAGTAATAAACACCAGCACCTTGAAGCTATTACATGGTAACTTCCATGATCTTCTCTACAAGCAATGAATCGAACAAATTTCCTTGTTTCCCCCTAGTAAATGGTAATGCCAATATGCTGTTTAATGTCATGGTACAATTCATTGACGTCCATTTTTGCAGGATTTTATGGAAGTGATCACTGCCCCGTTTCACTTGAGCTCTCGGAAGAAGTAGAAGCACCAAAACCCAAGTCCTCCAACTAATTTCTATATTTCGCACTTAACCAGACATGGTGGAGATTTTAGATTAGCTGAAGCATATCTGCTTTGTATCTCTTGAGTCATTATCCATTATTCAAATATTGTCTCAGTCTAGCAGTATTTCTGATGATGAATTGGATGATCTAGCTAGGATCCTGATTGTAATTATAATTAGTATGTTACTATGGTCTGCAATGCTATCTTTAGATCCTATAAGATCAAAAACTTCTACCATTTGTTCCATTGTTTTTAATCCGAAGAAAAACAATATATGCAAGCTAATTCTGGTCCGCAGGTAGACCGCGTTTGAGAACATGTGGAGTTAACCTTTATAAACTACTAACTACTCCAGTAATAAAGTTGCGTGCATAACCTACATGATAATAGCATCTGTAGATTTTTGTCTAGTATGATTCTCCCGGGAAAACTGCAGAAATTACAAAATGACATCCCGGTGCATTACATTTGTGCCTAGGTTCCATGTTCGTCTGACACAATGGAAGCTACGGCTCTGGTTGTTTAGGTATGCTGTAGAAAAAATAAAGAAACAATTAAAAATAATTTATAAAATAAAAACTTTATATTTGTGATATCAGCAGTTTAAAAGTCAATTTTAGAAAATAAACTACGATGAAATTCTTTAAGGGCCCCTTTGAAACATTGGATTGAAAAAATACAGGAATAAGAAAAACATAGGAATAGGATAGAAATTCACATGTAAAATAGAGGATTGTCCTCTCAAAAAAAAAAAAGAGGATTGTAAAGCCATAGGAAATGTATAGGAATATGTGTTTGAATGGAGTATAGGAAAAACATAGGAATATTTGCTTAAGAACTTGGGACCATTTTCCATTTCTAATAAATATATTGCAGCTAAAACAAATTACCATTCATTGCTTGTTCTTCTGTAGTGAAGAAAGTCATTAGGAGCTTGATTGCTTCGATCCTACGTAAAGCAAGTGAAAAATGAGCTCAGACTCCTGTGTTTCTCCCATTGAATCAGCGACGAATGAATATTTCCTTCGGTTTTCCTATGACCAATTCCTACAAATCAAAGGCTGCTACAATGAATGAATCCATAGGAACTCACATACTCCGTTTTTCCTTTGTTTCAAAGGAGCCCTAAATCATCTTAGGGCACCTTTGAATCGTAGAATGAAAAAACGGAAGAATAGAAAAGGCATAGGATTCTGACAGGAATGTAAGCGTATAATAGAGGATTGTAAAACACAGGAAAAACATAGGAATGATCGTTTGATTGGACCACATAATAAACACAGGAATCGGATGAAAGAGATAGACTCAAAGGATTTTTTTTTCCAAGAGGTTGGACCTCTTGCTAAGTTTCCTCCAAAACCTATATACTATGAGCCATTCCATAGGAATTTTGTTGGATTTAGAAAACTTCAATCCTTTGAATCAAAGGGCTACATAGGAATTCCTATAGGATTTCAATCCTGTAAAATTCCTTCGTAATTCCTTTGATTCAAAGGGGCTCTTAAGATTTATATTTTCGTTGTGGTTGATAAGGAATGTATTTTGTATTTGTAGCGGTGTATGTTTTACGGTTATCAGTGGCCCTTATCCCCTCTCCACTAAAAAAGGCAAAATTTGCTACACGACATCCAAAAAAGTATAATTAGTTGTGGGACACCATAAGAACGCGTATCTACTGAAAAAAAACCGGTAATTAGCTATAGTACACTCGTGGCATTATTTTATTATATCCCAAAGAAATGGAGAGAGAAAAAGCTCAGGAAGTACAAATCTGCCCCTTTCTCCACCACCACACACCTCGCTCTCCCAACAATCGCTTCCTGTTATTGCTTGCTCCTGTGCCCAGGACAAAAGGGGAAGGCCGACGGACCCAAGCCCCACTGCGCCACCAGAGCTAGGAATGTAGGATCGAAACACAAGAACTAAGCCAACCAGAGGGGGTGAATGGTTGGTATACCCAAAAACCCAAACTTTTTTGTGGAATAAAAAGTTACCCTCAAATTCGATGGAGATCGGTCTGACCGAGATTGATCTGCTGGTCTGACCAAGTTGATACCGTCGGTCTGACCGGAGTTGATCGCCCGGTCCAACCGCCTAAAGATTGCCTCTGCCTCCTGTCACCGTTGCCGGTCTGACCGCAGGTATGCCGCCGGTTTGACCGTTGCCTTGCTGCCAGTCTGACCGCCGGTGTGTCGCCGGTTAGACTGCTGAACCCTAGCAAACACAAATCGAAGAAATCTCAAAGTAGATGACAACTTTATTACTTATCTATGTATTTACAAAGTGCAACAACACCACTCCTTACGAAAATCTCGACTAAACTCGAAACCCTAACTAAACTATTAACTCAATGCTCTCAAAAGCGATACCGGGAAGCCTCACGCTCCCTCACTATTTATACATGAGGTAGGCAGCCTAAAGCCACAAACCAAACTCATACTAGAAGTCCTAATCCACATAGGAAACCTTCCCGTACAAGAAACAAACTTTACAAACTCCAATCATACCAAATTTGGACTCCTTCCAAATTCGACTCCGCATCCCATACGCACACAATACCTCCATTGTATGACATATCGAATATTCACCAACCACGTGCATTGAACTCTAGCCTAAGTATCCCACATGATATCTGACCGTCACGGACATCGTCTTATCCCCAAGCCGACTCCCGATCCATCACCGGCAATACTCTCCCGAGACATCAAGTCACCTACATATGAATCAAACAAAGAAACCATATTTCAAGACCAAGCTATCCCCAACTTGACTCATTGTTAGCAAACAACAGTATTACATACATATAATATCCATCTAGAAGCCATAAATATGAAACAATCATGGATATCCAAATAAATAACCCGAAACCGAAACTAACACAGAGTCGGCCGGTCAGACCACGGGTTGGCCGGTCTGACCGCTCGATCACCGCTGGTCTGACCGGCACACACAGCCCGGTCTGACCGGACCAAATCACAGACAGCAGTTCCTGTAGATCACCTGTAAAATCCAATCATCTCCAAAACCACTTCGAAAATAAATTCCAAATATCAAAACCAATAATCTCCAATGCCAATTGTTCATCACAAAATAACAATTAAAAACACTTTTATTTTACAATCTCCTTATTCATGAACACATTGGCAAACCCATCAAAAATGTTTTGGTGTTTGGAAAAATAAAAACAAAAAGTGGTAAAAAGCACACTTCGTACAAATGTACACATCGTGCTCAAAATCCGAAAGAAAACTTCTCTCACTTTTGAAAAGAAAGAAATTCCCCTTGAACCAAAAAACATGCTCTTCTCAAACAACTCTCCAACAAAAATTCTTCTCTTCTCCCAAAAACTCTCATTTGCTTCTCCCCCTTTTGACAATGATTTCATCAAGCATAAGAATTATGTTCGTCAATGTTCAAGAGCTTAGCATACATATAGCATATCAAGTCATGAGTTGCAATAAAAAGAAGATGAACCCATCTATAATATAGCAAGCATGCATTAAAGTATAATCATGAATCAAAGATTTTACAATTAAGTTCAAATCAACAATCAAAATTCATGATTTCATAAGATTTATAATGCAACATCTTAACAAGCACATAGGTTGAAAAATAAACACTAAACATATAGACCTATTGCATTTATCACTATTTCTCAAATTAGCTTTAGCACAAAACAACCAAGAGAATTTTTATCTTTTATTTTACTTTAGCCTTTTTGCTCATATTTTTTTTCTCAATTTTTTCCGGGTACGTCCTTGTCGTCAAGACTGTTTCCAAGGATTCGGCACCCATTATTTTTGCTCATATCGAATACGTCCTTGTCGTCAAGACTGTTTCCAAGGATTCGTTATTCATTTTTTTCTCACTCATAAATATTTTTATCTTACACAATGAGCAATTACAAAGCTATTTGAGGAATAACAATTCAATAAAGCATATATATATAAAGCATTTATAAATCAAACCATATGCTAGCATCAATATTGCATATTTTCTTAATTCAAATATAGAATTTAAGTGTCATGCATCATCTCCTTTAAAAGCAATATCTAAGCCTCCTAAAAAGACTAGAATACATACAAGCTATGCTAGAGACAAATAAACCTTCATATTATTGCTAGCATACACAAGAAAATATCATATGTATAAACAAAGATCCAATCATACTTCTGTACTCCTTCTGATCAGCAGCTTCACCATCTTCATTAGGATCCAACACAGCTGTAGAACCAGTTGGTGTTGATATTGGCTTGCAATTCTCCATCTTGAACCGTCTCAAAAGATCTTTCGTGTACTTCGTTCGATGCACAAATGTACCTTGAGGTGTTTTCTTAATTTGCAATCCCAAAAGGAATGAAACTCACCCATCATGCTCATCTCAAATTCACTACCCATAGTCTCAGCAAACTCCACAACCAAAGCGTGAGTTGAACAACCAAAGATGATATCATCCACATAAATCTAAACGAACAGTTGATTATCACCATGCTTAAGAACAAAAAGTGTTTTGTCAACCTTTCCCATTGTAAAATCTTTCACAAGCAAAAAGTTCTTAAGCCTATCATACCATGCTCTACGTGCTTGTTTCAAGCCATACAAAGCTTTAGACAATTTAAAAACATGGTTGGGAAAATCAAGATTTTCAAAACCTGGTGGTTGCTTGACATAAACTTCCTCCTGTATAAAACCATTTAGAAAAGTACTTTTTACATCCATTTGATACAATTTAAAACCTTTTGAAGCAGCAAAAGCCAGCAAAAGTCTAATTGCCTCAATTCAAGTAACAGGAGCAAAAGTTTCATCAAAATCCAAACCCTCCACCTGCGTAAATCCTTGAGCAACAAGTCTAGCTTTATTTATCACAATCAATCCATCCTCGTTTTGTTTATTTTTGAAAACCCACTTGTTTCCAATAATATTATGTCTAGAAGGTGGTTCAACTAAGGTCCAAACTTTGTTTCCCTCAAAATTTTCAAGTTTTTTCATGCATGGCATTAATCCACGATACATCAGTTAATGCATGAGTAACATCTTTGGGTTCAAAAGAAGCAACAAATGCAGAATTTGCACAAACATCATGAGTCATTACCTTAGACCTTGTAGTCCACTCACCTATATTACCAATGATTTGTTTTGGCGGATGTCGTCATTGAATATGCAAAGGAGCAGCGACTTATGATGTTATATCACGTTTTGTACCAGTACTGGTCGAAGTTGTACCCTCTAGAGGACCATCTCGATCAGCATCAACAGAACCGGAAGCCAACGATCCTGGCCAGTCTGACCGCTCATCC